TATTATTCATTACTTATAGTAGGTAGTTCTTCCCTTTAAATGCTATCACTTTCTTTTCTATGAATTAAGATTATGCCATGTGGACAGATGTGTATTTTTTTGCATAGGAAGACAACAGACGTATATAATTTTGTTGGTTTAATGGTTTTTCTGAATAAGTTCCGTGAAGGAAAAAATGCAAGCAAAGCGGGTGGTTGTCTAGTTCACTTATTCAAACTCATTTACTAAATTTGCTTGAATGGAAAATCAAATGAAGTATTTAGTTAAAGATTTTACTCTTGATTGTATGATAGATTCCTATGGTTTTCTTATACTGGTGTGTTTTTCAGGTATGAACCTAACACTATTGATCTCTCTGATCACTGTGAGTTGGAGTAAGTACATGAATTAAGCTCATTTCAATATACCTGAGAATGCATGTGAACCAATGTTGTATTATTGATAATTTGTTATGAGTGCCAACAAGAAACATCTGATACTTATCCATCAACAGGTACTGGTTCACTGTGTTTTCAGAGCATTTACCAGACCTTGTTGACAAGGCAAGGGCAAACACTGAGCCTTAATTGCTCCTTCTCTCTCTTTCTCTCTCTCCGCACACACACAGTCCCTCCTATCTACTCAATCTATTATACCTCATCTCGTACAAAATAACAACGGCCGGCTTCACTTAGTTATGTCATAATGATACATCATTTTTGACGAAATAAAGGAAGAAGTTTCTAGGGTTGACTTTACTCTCTATGTGATTGATGGTTCTTGGAGAAAGTAAATGAGACAAAACCCTGTTTATTACCTGACATTTAGTAGTTCTTGAGCATTGACTTCGTGAGATGTTTCTTGTGGCTTATAAAATGCAGAAGTTCTCCTTCATTTCCTTAGCATATGAAGAAATTTGTGCATTTTCTTATGAATCTAAGGATCCATGTTGATTACAAATGTTGTGCATTGATTTTCAGTAACCATAATTAGCATTTAGTTTTTTCCCCTTTCTCTGACTTTGATTTAAGTACAATACAGCTTGTGTGTTTTTCTGTCATGAGCAAGATATTGGTTGTTAATATAACTGTTAATTAACGTGTTTCTGAATTTTTTTCTTACTGATTGAGAAACTTGTTGTTGAATATGTAAGGCTGTTGCAAGTGAAGGTGGAACTGATGATGCCAAGAGAAGGGGTGATGCATTCGCTCGGGCATTTTCTGCCCACTTGAGGAGGTAACTTTACTAATTTTAGTCTGATATACGTGCTGCATGGTTATATTTTCCTGAGAATGGATTTGTCTGGGGTTTCAAAATATAAAAGCTCAAACTTGATGCTTCATTCTATTTTGGATAAAATATATTTCCGTTCCCTGTATTTGAGAAAAATTCACTTTGGCTTGTAAATTTTAGAATGGGACATTTGATCCCAAGTTTTGGAAAAATTCGTCTCTAGAATCATCATGTTAATAAAATGGTGATTCAACAACTTAAATGATAACATGGTGTTCGTGACTTAAATGACATGACAACTAAAAAAGACTATTACAAACCGTTATTAACAGTGAGTAAATATCATTGACTGAAGAGGCAACTAGGCGCCTCTTACATTTTTCATCTTGCCTGTCCTCTGCTTAAAATTTTCTACCCTACCAAATTATAACATTTAAATAGGTTGATGGAGGAACCTACAGCATATGGGAAATTGGGTTTAGCTAATCTTCTGGAACTGAGGGAAGAGTGCTTGAGGGAGTTCCAGTTTTTTGATGCCTACAGAACCATAAAACAGAGGTAACTGTATTTCTGAATACAACTATTTTTCATTCTTTCTGCTCTCCAATCCGCTACCCCCTCCCAAACTAATGAGAAAAAGGGAATCTCCTACCTCCAAACATCCTTTATAAGTGAATTGAAGATATTGAAAGCAATTTGGAATCTTGATTCCCCCTCACCCTTTCACGAACTATCCTTTCTCCGTGGAACAGGGAGAATGAGGCATCACTTGCTGTCTTACCTGACCTGCTATTGGAACTTGATAGCATGAACGAGGTATATATAAAGAATTTGCACTGATACACCGTCCATGGTGCAATAGGAGTCCAGCAGTTATAAATCAACAACTTATATTTTGCTTATAGTAACATATCCAATTTATCTGCTTCTCTCTAAATGCAGTTATGATTTACAATACATCTTGTTTTTGCCGTTTTCCCTGGGGAACAATTTTGTGTTCATCTATATTTTCGGGAAAAAAAAGTGTTAATCTAAATTGGCATTTAGCCTAGCGAATTTTATGACGTCTGGAAAAAACATTTTGCTTGTTAATTTGCAGGAAGCAAGACTGCTTACCCTAATTGAAGGTGTCCTTGCCGCAAACATTTTTGATTGGGGATCTCGTGCCTGTGTTGATCTCTATCACAAGGGGACAATTATTGAGATTTACAGAATGAGTCGCAATAAGATGCAGAGACCGTGGCGGGTAACCAAACCTGAACTTCTAGGAGTTGGTGAATTGAGAAACCTCGACTGTTCTTTATCTGCTATTCTTCTTATCAGAGCTGATTCAACAGTCCTATTTAATGATTTCTTTCTCATGATTTAGGTCGATGATTTTGATGTCTTCAGAAAGAGAATGTTAGGATTTGGGGATGTTAAACCCCTTCGACATAGAAGAGCTCTTCTCTTTGTGGACAACTCAGGTGCTGATGTTGTTCTAGGGATGCTTCCCTTGGCAAGGGAACTCCTCCGACGTGGAACTGAAGTAAGTTTACTCTGTTGTGATGCCGAATGAAAATTTACACCTATGGGTTGAAGGAGCAGTCCCAAAATAAATTTAATACTGTTTATCGTCTTTTCTGAGGAAATTTCCAATGGCATCTCTAGAATACAAGTCTATTCCCTTCCATGCAACAATTTGTTCTCTGTGCTTCTTATTCCCAACCAAAGTATGTCCTCAGTAGTGATCGGGAGTATTTATTCCAGGTTGTTTTAGTTGCAAACTCTCTTCCTGCTCTAAATGATGTTACCGCAATGGAGCTTCCTGATATTGTAGCCGAGGCTGCCAAGGTACTTTCTTCCCTGTGCATCTGAACTCGGTATTCAGCATGTTCAACCTGTTTGTATGAGTATCTAATCACCATTTCTATTCTTTAGCCCTTTTCTCAGACGCTTAATATTCTTCAACATTTTTTTTTTTTTGGATATAACCACTTCCACCTATGTTTTTGTTGTTTCTAGTCTGTGTCAAGCATTATTGATTCCGAAATACCCCGAAGAGGGCACCGAAAGAAATATTTCACATTTTTTGGGAGGAAAATTCTGTATCTTGGTCAAATCTCAGATGGCTGTTCACTTAATTTAACCAACAAACTTCTGTTTACAGCACTGTGACATACTACGTAGAGCTGCTGAAGCAGGGGGATTGATTGTAGATGCCATGATTAACTCTGCAGATGGTTCTAAAAAAAGTTCATCTTCTGTTCCCTTGATGGTTGTTGACAATGGGTGTGGTAGTCCATGTATTGATCTAAGGCAGGTCAGCTCCGAGTTGGCTGCTGCAGCTAAAGATGCCGATCTGGTAAAATACGTTCTTCTAATTGAAAAACCCAGGGTAGCGTAGGCCCGAATAAGCATTTAGAGTTGCCATCAGTCGTAAAACGTAAAACTAAAAGCGGATAAAATAGAAGAGAAAACGCATATGATATCAGAGTTTGTTGTGGTGCAGGTTATCTTGGAGGGGATGGGGAGAGCCATTCATACCAACTTCAACGCGCGGTTTAAATGCGATGCTTTGAAGGTGATGTTTACTGGTTTTGTTTTTCATCGAGGAAATCTCGAATAATTGAAGGGCTGGCATGTCTTTTAAGAATCTTTTTTCTTCATATTTTCATGAAAAAAAGTGTTTACTTTTGCAGCTTGCCATGGTGAAAAATCAGAGGCTGGCAGAGAAATTGCTCAAAGGAAACATATACGACTGTGTCTGCAGATACGAACCATCAAACTGAAGACTTTTTTTCTCTTTCAATTTCCAAGTTGTCACTATCAGTTTCCTCGTCAGAATTTATGAAAATATTCTTCACTTCTTTTGGCGAATATTTAGAAGTATACATCTAACTACCCTTTTGCTGCTTTTCCTTTCCCCTTCCATTTTTTTTTTTTTTTTTGCTATCTTCAAAATTCCACAAACATGGTTCAATTAGTTACTCTGCCTTGAATTTTAATTTTTAAGAATTAAGAATTCATTTGAATTTAATTATTTGCTGGAATTATGTACGTTACTAATTGCTTAACTGCATGTCATTAAAAACCTGACAAACAAAAAATTAATGCACAACAGTTGACCAAAAATGAATGAGACTTTTTTGGGGGAAAAAAAAACCAAAATTTTGGTATTCTATTGCAATTCCTGAGATCTTCATTTTCTTATTTTTGTTCACGTTGATGTCTCAACTGTCGTGTACAAACAATACCGTCTTGATTTCTCTTTCCTCTTTCTTTTTAAGTATGACTTCACTTAGCCAACAAACATGGTGTGATTTGGTTGATTTGACTCATTTTAGATAAAAGTCAATTACGAGGTAATTATCACTTGGAAGTTTGGCGTATTTACAATTGATTATTGAAAAAATTTAATAAACAAATTGTCTTAACATAATTAGATTAACTAGAATAGGATGGCTTAAAATCAATTCAATTCCATTCAAATTTTCTGTTTCAAATTTTGAATTTTATATCTCATTAATAAGGTAAAAGTAAGCTAGATTGCGCTGATAAGTACAATCCAAATTGTATGAACTTTTTGGTGTAAACTTATTAATTAGTTGTCTTTATATTAGTGTCTATGGTAGATCACGTTCAAATTATCTCTCTCTCTCTTTTTTTTAATCTATAATATAATATAACATTGCAAATTCGTGAAAAGAAAAATCCAATAATTTTCCTCGGGGGTAGGCGAGTTCTGTAGTCTACAATTAGCAAAAAAAAAGGAAAAAAAGAAAAAAAAACTTTAACAAAATATAAAATCCTCTATTTATTTTGAAGAAAAATAAGAGAGAAGGATGAACAAGCCGACTTTTAGGATCGATTCGTATCGTAGTCACCGTTCATCCGCAGCGTAAGGTAAATGGTTTTAAATTAATTACTTTTTTATGTTTCTCTCTCTTTTTCTCTCCGAAATTGTTAATTCCTCCACCCTTTTTTCTTCAGCTTTTCAGCGTCTGCAATTACTTGTGTATGTGTTTCTTTTTCTTCGGACTTTACTAATTATTATCCAAATCATCTCTCTCTCTCTCTCTCTCTCTCTTTCTTTCGAATGACTCGCTGTAATAACTATAATCTCTCTCCTTCAACTCGGGTGAGTTTGATCTCTGTAAATTTCGATTTCGGCGCCGCTACAAATGTTCTTCGTGTATTTTGTTCTTCGCTTTCTGTTTTTCCACTGTCTTTGCAGCTGGAGTCTGTTTTCTTTGATTGAAGAATAGGTTTTATTTGATCGGTTGTATCAGTTTTGTAATGCTAGAGGTTTGATTTTGGTTTTCTGATTGTTTTTCTCAGTCTCCTTGGTCGGCTTCGTTGATGGTGGGGTTTTGATGATTTGGGGGAGACTTGTGTAGAGTTGGAATGGAAGACCCCAAAACCCCAGAAACCCTAAAAGCCCAAAGCCCTTCCAATGAAATCAGCGAGGAGATTTCTGGGTTTTCTGGGTTGGTCGATTTGAGTGGAGGCTTGACGGTGGAGATTCCGCTGGCTGAAAATGGCGGAGCGGTTAGTGTTTGCAGTAACGATGGTGAGATTAGCAATGTCGTCGAATTGAGGAACGAAGAGGTTGAAGATGGGAAGGGAATAGAGGGCACTGAGAGAAGAACAATTTTGGATGGTGGTGCCGGTGCCGGTGCCGGTGCAGTAGCTGATGCTGAAGACGACGGTGGTTATGGTGGTGGGGCTGCGGCTGCGGCTGAGGATGACCAGAATAAAGGCAACGCGGTGGAATTGAATGGTGTTTCTACAGCTAAGGATATGGAAGTTTCTGGAGATGGCATATCACTTACAGTGGACTTCTCGAATATCCAGCCAGAAGAACCTGAACTTTCCAAGTCCATGGGGGCAGAAGAGATGTCGAAAGAAGCTGAAGAAGAAGCGCGGATTATTGAAAATGGTGGAGGATACAGTTTTTCAGTTGGTGATGTGATATGGGTCAAGACCAAAAGTCAGACATGGTGGCCTGGAAAGATATATGAACCCTCAGATGCTTTGAAAAGTGATGAAAGTGGCCAGAGTGATGGTCTATTAGTTGGCTATTTTGGGAGCAGCCATATGACATGGTGTTCTCCATCTCAGTTGATGCCGTTTGTTGAAAACTTTGAGCAGATGTCTGCGAAATACAAGTCTCGAAGCTTCCTTGGAGCTGTAGAGAAAGCTGTGGATGAGTTTGGCAGGTGCGTGAAGATGGAGATGACATGTTCGTGTATTTCGGAAGGAAACCACCCATTAGAAGGTGATGCTGGATCGAAGGAAGTAACTTCCCTGCCTAGGCGCAAGTCGGGTTTCCTTGCTAAGTATTCTGTTGATCAGTATGAACCCGAAACATTCCTAGCACGTGTTAACAGTCTTGCACAGATTGTTTGCCTATGTGGAGCACTAGAGTTGAGTATCCTATACAATCAATTAGCAGCTTTTCAAAGCTCAATTGGGCACCAGCAATTGCCTTTGCATCAACTCTTGGAAACTCATGATCCTGAAGACGATTTGGTGGGCGAATCAGTGAGAAAAAGCAAAGTTCGTGTTACAGCAGGAGATGATGAAGAGGAGGTAGAAGGCGGCACGCAGAGCTCACCATTAGAGACACTATCCGTAGGATCAGATGTTGTACGCGAAAATATGGAAGGGAAGAATGGAGATCCAGGTAAGGTACTAGATGGAAGCATGGAAGTTGGAAAAAGGAGCTCCAGAAGAAAGGCAATTGTTAATGGAGGAATAAAATCAAGATCTGCGAAGAGAAAAGGAAGTGACAAATTTGAAGATCTTGAATCTAGTAAATTGGATTCTTCAATCAAGGGGGAGGTGATGAGTCCAACAACAGATGAAAGCAAGGATTCTGTTGTAGGTAACTTTGATGATGGGAGCAAAGGGATGTCTGAAAAGAGATCTGAGACGCGAGAGCGGAAGAAGAGCAAGTATTTGTCTTTTCCATACATAAACTGGGGGCAGAAAGGTATGCCAGCTGAAACAGAAGATATCAAGGCTCTTAAAATTTCTGGCGAAGGTGAGGATGAAAATGCAGTCGAGGGCCAGAATGAAACCCCTTTGCTATCTAAATGCAGTGGCAAGTTCTGGAAGAGGTGGTACCGGAATATTACCAGTGGGAGTGATGTTGCTGATAATCAAGAGTTGATGAGTGTATCACCAGCTGAGTTTCTCTCTGAGCTTCATTTTACTGCTGTGAATTGCCTTTATCCAAACGAAAATAACAACTTCAATGCGGTTGCTCAGTTCTTTTCCAGATTTAGAATTTTGATGTTTCATGATGAATCTGTCAATGCTGGTCAAAATGATGCGATGGCGGCTGATTTATTTTTTCTTGGGGGAAAGGTGTCCGAGGTTAAGAATCCTTCTTCTGCTGCTAAATCTGGGTTAAAAAAAAGAAGTCAGACAAGTTCCATAACGAAGAAGGAAGAGATGAAATCATCCAAACCAATCCCTGATGATGCAGATTTGACTGAAAAAGCTGAAACATGCCCTGCAGGAGATGCACAGAATAAAAGTCCGATGACTTCCAATGCTAGGCCAAGAAAAGATAGAGAAACCTTGGGGGGGAGATTGAAGACCAAATCCCTTTCTGCCTTATCAGACGTGAACATTAACGCTTCTTCCAGTAGCTTACTCACAAAAGATTCACCAGAGATTGGACCTCGCTCACCCAATGGTTTAACAAAGCGGAGGAAGAGAAAGAACGATGGATCGCACCCTCAGAATAAACAATCAACGGAAATACCAGATTTAAATGGAAGTGGTTCTGTAGCTGGGTTGTTGGTGGAAGATCAGCAGGCTGTGAGCCATGTTGCTTCCCAACAGAAATCTGAGCCAAAGAAGAGAAGGAAACTTGGAGCTGCTAAGGAGCATTCAAAGGCATCTACTGAAGTAAAAAATGTGAATAATAGCAATAAGCCTGGTTCGTTCTTCATTGATCTACAGGTCACAGCTCCACAACCACTTGGAGTAATTCCAGAGAAAAATCAAGTGAATTTTGCTGGAGTGCCCAACCAGCCAGTGAAAGACCAGACAATAGGCCAGGATCAGAGCAAGGGTGGGGGCAAARAGAGGAAGAGGAAGGAGAAACCACCGTTGGGGGATCCAAAGATCAACTTATCTTCTGATATACCAGATTTAAACGGAATGGGTATTGAATCTAGCCAGGGGAAGGAATCACAGTTGGCTAACAGCCTTCCGCAGCAGGCTAAACCCAAGAGGAGAAGGAGGAGAAAAGGCGAAGCTAGTTTGGACCACCAAAAACCTTCTGACAGCAGACCATATATTTATAATAGAGTTGAAACTGATGGAGAAGGATTAGGATCTCTTCTTCTCTTGACTTTCTCTGCAGGGGTTCCCTTACCTTCCCGGGAGCAGTTTATTACTACGTTTAGCCAGTTTGGATCATTGAAGGAATCAGAGATACAGTTGAAGGATTCAACTGCCGAGATAGTTTTCCTACGAAGCGCTGACGCTATGGAAGCAGTTCGGAGTTTAAAGAAGAACAATGTTTTTGGCCCAACTCTTCTAAAATACCAGCTTTATCATCTCTCAGCTCCCCCCAGGACGTCGGACTCGGACCGGGCTTGCACAGCGCTAGCCTATCCTGCTTCTGAGGGCACTCTGAATCCATCAAAGTCTGCTGAATTAGGGTCTCAAGTGGGTGAGGCACCGCCCATAGACTTTATAAGGAAGAATCTTCAGATGATGACATCAATGCTGGAGAAGTCGGGAGATAATCTCTCCCCAGACATGAGAGCCAAATTGGAGAGCGACATTGAAGGCCTTCTCAAGAAGGTGAGTTCCATGGCGGGTTCTTCCTCAACATAGAAAGGAAGTCGGAACCATTGTGGATTATCTTTGACCAGGTTCTATCAAGCCCTCCTCGTTAGTCTTGTTGATGTATCGTAGGTGTAGTTTATATATTCGACGACTCGAATATTAACCTGTGCGATTCGTGGAGCTTTTCGTTTTTATTAGTGCTTTTAGTTTCCCTCCCTTTTTCTTCTTTGGTTACAGAATCGTATAAGCAATGTGGAGCCTTTGTTGTATTTCATGAGATGAATTTGGCGGCGACCACCTTTATTTAGTCTCATACTTTTGACGATCTTGTTCCTTGTGTTGGCAAGGGATTTAGCCATAAATTTAACTTGTGATTCTGCGCTTCTTTCGCATTCTAGTATAAGCATGCGCACAAGCTCAGTATGCTTCTGAGGCCCAAATTCCATGTTTCAAGAAATCCAATATTTTCGGTTGTATAATCTGAATCAGACGTTTTGTCACGATGGAAACAAAGCTTTCTGGTTTGTTTTGCCATGGCAAACGCCTCAGCTAAGCTACCTCTATCATCCATAGTAAAGAGGCTCACTAATGCTGCAATGGCTCCATTTCTGATCGCCATTGGTGCCACTCTCCAAATCTTGAGATTTTAGATTTGCAAGGTCTGTAGATCATACTAATTTAGATTTCCAAAAACGCACCTCTCATGCTTGCAAATCAAGTATGAACTCTCAATTAAATCTGATAATGCCATACAAATCTAAGCTTGTCAAGTGGACGAGCGATACAGCTTTGCTTCCCTCCATCATATCAAACAGCATAAGTTGAATATTCCAAAGATTCTCTCAATTTCTTCACAGCCATGCCATGGTGTGTCGTCAGAAATCAGAATTAGAAATTCCCAATCAATGAAATTTCTATAGTTCATTCCTCGGTTTACCAAATCAAATACCCCATTCAAAATTTTGACGAACATAAAAGAGTACAAGAATCCACAGCAGTTTCCATCTTCCCTCGTTCGCGCATTCACAATACAAGGATCACATCGAGGTAAATCATCATAATCAAGCGGTAACCTCAGCTTAATTGCGATCTTGGTAATTCATTTCCTCTGCAAACAGAAGGGAGTGACAATCAGAGAGAGTACGCCAAGAAATTCACAGGAGCATTTCCACAAACAAGTTGCAGGCGAGGGAGGGTCTGGAACAGAATTGTGCTGACATGAAAGCAAAGGGGAGGAATCTACATACCAAAACTTCGTATCTGTGGACTCCACACAGTTGAAAGGCTTCAGATTGAACTTCACGCAGAAGACTACGACTACCAACTATTCTACTCCACATGCATGTCAGACTGCAAAACCATAAGCTTTCCCATAGCCATGAACAGTGAAATACGCACACCGCTCTGTTGCATCTCCAATCTCGTCTCCGATCGAGATTACAGTTCTTCAGGATTTTGAATTTTGATTCTATATGATTCTTATTTTAAATTTCTTTTTTCTTTTTTATTGATAGAAAGAAAGAATTGAAACTTTTGCATTTGAGGGAGAATATTGGCAAATTGAGACTCGGAAAGAAGTAAATTTATAGTATTTCTTACTGTAGAAATGAAGTACTGTAGTGCACTTATTTTGGTAGAATAAACCTCTTCTGTGACCAAAGAAAGAAACGAAAAAGAACCCTTAAACGTACCGATTCTTTCTAATCATTTCCTCGTATTTACAGTTCAATTACAAAAAGTAATACTGTTGCACTTTGTTTGAAAAATACCCGCACGATCCAAATGTTTTAAAAGTACTATTCCAACAAACATCTATTAATATTTTGAACAGTTCGAGGAAAATGTTTGATGCAAATAAGAGAAAAGGGAGGAGAATAATCATTGTTCAGCCACTAATTGCCCTGACTCCTAAACTGAAAAGGATGCCGTTCATGTTAAGTGTCACATATTGTTGTAGCCTGTAGGAGATATTTTTGAAGTAAATGACACAAAGTTATGGAGTAATTTTTATAATTTAGCATTTTCTAAATATAACTTTATACTAACTCTATTCTATCTACCAATATTCAAAATTCAAAACTCGCTTGTAGCAGAGTTATATGATCATGCGGCCAAGACTCATCCCTTTCAAATTTATAATTCTTGCATGGCACTTTTATCATTTTTCTGAAAATTTTTTTTTGTTTATTATTTTTTCCATTTCTAGGTGAAGATAAAGATAAAAGACCAAAGCGATCATAACTTAACGATAATTGACATATATCTTCAACCAAGAAATTGTGAGTTCGATCTCACCCCACATGAAACCTAAAATTTCCTCATAAAATTTATTTTATCACTTATTTTATTCAAAAGTTTTATTATTTATTTATTTTTCTAGACTTACAAATAATATTTACAATTCCAACCACATAAATCTTTTTACTACAAGTCACACAACGGCTGAAACCCTCAAATCTCTCATATTCTTCAAACAAAAAGACATGCAGAAGGCTTTGTATACAATGGAGAGACCAAGATTTGATAATGCACAATACTTTACTACTAGTACTTAATTTTTTTCTTTTTTCCTTTTTCAAAACAAGTCTAATTATATGATGATGATTACATACTGAATCACACTCATTTTTTCTTTATACTACGAAAGCACTCCCCAGATAATCTTCCTCGATATTACAACAAAATCCTAACAGAGCCTTGAAACCCAAAGCCACACCCCGAATACGAGAGAGATTTCAATTAAACCCC